TAATGAAATAACTACAGCCACCCAGAGAAGGTCTTGGTCTTAGCTCTGTGAGAATCTTGAATTCTGTGAGGGTTTTGACCCTCCTGGAGCCCTAGAATTGTTCCATTTGCCTCTTTTATTTAGCCTTCGCTGTACATTCGTTCAGGAGAGTAGGCCCAAATCAGTCTGCAAAAAGTAACTATTAACCCAATGGAAGACACCCACTCATAATCAGGGGTCTCCAGGAAAACCTATGTCAGCTAGGTAACATACCTCTGCACAAACATACACAGTTAGGAAAAAAACCTTTTCTTATGTACACAAAAGTAGAGCTGAGAGGCCCGCCATACCCACAGACTCACCTGCCCATACATATAGCCTTGGGGATATGGTTTGGATAAAAGATTGAAAAAAGTAGCCTCTATAACCTGAAGGGGCCCCTACTTAATTATTTTGACCACTCCCACAGCAATAATGGTCTCTGAGATTCAGCCTTGGGCCCAGATTCTCGGGTCAAGAAAGCTCACCCGGGTGAATCAGCTCCCCAAAGACAACTCTGAGGGCACACCACACAAAGCCCAGCTCTCATTATCCCGGAAGCTGACAGGTTGTCTTAAGTACTTTTCTCTCATTGCTGGGACAAAATACCCAACACTCCCAATTAAGGAAGGAAAGGTTATTTAGCTCACAATTTGTGGAGTTTTTAGTCTATACTTGGCTGGCTCGAAAGCAGAATGGCACAGGCAGAGGCAGCCATTCATGGCAGAGGAAGACAGCAAAAGCAGCAAGAGCAAAAAGGGACAAGCAGCAGCAAGCAAGCCTCTTTCCCTCCCTTACATTGTATGCCCAAGGCGGGTGCAGCACTCACATCCACAGTCCACCATTGGACCAGGAGTCAATCACAAACTCTAGAGGCCGCCCCATGACCACATGAGGCTTTGGGGGGAGACATCTAGACACAAATCATAACATAAGCCAATGCATGGCTGAAGTTGGACAAACATCATACACCGGAGCTTCTGCCCTGATTAATTCATGTTTTCCTCTCTAGTCTTGTTTTTGATTCCCTATCTCATGTTAACAACAGTATTGGCCCTAGAATTCTGTGCTGTGTCCCCAGAGTATAGGGAAGTTCCCCATAAGGTTACTTCTGTTCTCTTCTATATTGGTGTAACTATAGGACTGAGTACTCTAAACTGCCTTTCTTACGGTTAAGATAGAGCTGGGGATATAGCTCAGCAGCACAGAGCCTGTCTGTGCAAGGTCCTGAGTTCAATTCCCAGTATCAAAACAAAACAAAATAAAAAGATTAAGAAGACTGCCATAACTAATTGTTATCTGTGTTTTATTAGCCTGCTTGGCCCACACATCTGTTGGATAAACTTAGGGCACTGGGAATTTCAAGCCCAACTTTATGGCACTGCCCCATAGTGACTCTTGACTAGACCAGATGGGACCCCTCTTCGTCTAAAGTGTATCTTTATTTTGATGCATGCACCAATTCAAGCCAATAACCCAGGCTGGGATTCCCCTGACTGTTCTATAGGATATGGAGGTTTAAAATGGAAACGAGAGTATTGAGCCAACAAGAAATATTATCTGTCCCAGGAAAGGGCTATTGTGAGATCAACAGTGAAGCAGATGTCAAGTCCTGCCATAGGTGGGGCTGCGCTATACACCACAGGAGGGGTGTCTCCAAATAGCCTTCCGACTCAGCGCCCATCTGATCCAAACTGCCCACAGAGAGCCTGCCACCCCATACAATACACCACTGGGGACCCCGCCCATCGGGAACAGATGAGTGTTGGGTAGATGGGAGGAGAGGGGACCACTTACTATTCTAAAAACCATGAAAATCTGGGCTCCCCAGCCCCGCATCAGAATCCCTACCCCAAAGCCACCATTGTTCTCACTGGCCCCTGTGCACCTGACCTCTTGCCCCTGGTCAGTGGTCCCCATCAGGTCTACCAAACTGCAGATCTGAAATTGGGAAATGAGTGTTGGCTGTATGTATCCTTCACTGCTCTCTCTTACTGTGACTTGGCCCGACTCTAAATGGCATCAACCTTAACTCTCCCGCCATACCTGGTCTCTTACTCCAGCCCCACCCAACAGAGGTATAGAGGAATGCCACATGCCTCCTTGGTTTCTCTGCAAAACCAAAGGTCTCGGCTCACTGTACAGATGTCTGACTGCTACTTCAGGCTCCCTAAAGGCCCCACATGGGATCTTCTTTGCTCTGATGGGGTCTGTTGCGGTTTGGGGTTTTCTTTGCAAGAGGAATACGATACGGGACACATTTTATAATATTATTTTACAAGGACTTACCCAAGAAACGTATACAAATACAAAAAATCTGTCCAAACACTAAACATTAAGGCATCTAGCTGAGGGCCTGGATCCTAATATTGTGCATGAGTCCAGATGAAATCCTAGCGCTCATAGCAATGCCTCCCAGAAGCTCACTGCAGGCCTAGAGCCCACAGCAAAGTCTTGTGCAGGCCCACTATACACATTTGTGCTGAGAAGGCCCAAAGATCAGCGGCGGAAGCTAGAAAGTCTATGCCAGCGAGCCGAAGGATCTGTGCTAGCAGGCTGAGGGATCTGAACTGGGGCCAGAAACAACACTCAAGGTAAGAACCAGAGCTCTCCTAAATGGACCACAGCCATCCTCAGCAACAGTGACATCCTAGGCTCCTCCAGAGGTGAGGAAAGCTGAGTTTCCATCAGGAAAGCCAATGTGACAAGCTTCTCCATGAGGCTGAGCAGCGCACCATCTTCCCTTCCAGAACCAGTAAGCGATGCATCAGATGAGAACCAAAGCTCCTCCGAAGTTCATCCGGAAAGATAGCAGAACAGCCCAAGAGAACTAGCAGCTTCCAACACGCTTCTCCAAACAGCATCCCTAACAGTGTTTTAGCAGCTTCTCCTGTTCTGCCTTTTATGCTGCTGGCAACAATCCTCAGGTGGACCTCCACACCCAGCACCACACTGGTTTAATTCAGCTAGGTGTTAAGAACTAGATTACCAGTTAGCTATCAACTACAGGTCCATCAGGTGTTTTTAAATAATTTTTTAAATGTATTTGGGGGCCGGGGAGATGGCTCAGTGGAATAAGTGCTTCCCTGGCAAGTGCAAGGGCCTGAGTTCAATCCCTGGTTCCACCAAAAAACCAACCAAACAAACAAACAAAAAAAACACTGTTAAATGTATTTGGTTGTTAGAGGGTTTCAGCACGTAGCTCGGACTCCCAGTGCTGGGATTACAGGCGTGCACCACCATGCCTGGTCTTGGTGGCTGACTCAGCACGCCTATAGGTGGGGCTGGCCGTAGCATGTGGTGCCTGGGATTGAACCACGGTCCCTGCACTTGCCTAAGGAAGCAGGCTCAGGCAAACAGGCACTTTAGTCCGCTGAGCTATCATGCTGGTCTCATCAGGTGTTTCTGAGCACAAAAATGAGTCTCTGTGCACTTCCTTACCTCATACATGACCTCTCTGTCTACTCAGGTCAAAAAGGCCCCGTGTATAGCCTTGACAAAAACATGACCCAGTGGTGCTGCTGATTTTGATCAGAATAGAAATAGCAGGGAGTCTAACCCTCAGGGCCACTGCCTTGGGCATAGGCCAACAGTACTTACAACTGAGCACCCAGATAGAGCGTTATTTCACAACAGTGTAAGGAACATTCCACGCGCTCCAACACCAAACTGCCTCCTTGGCTGCAGTGGTCCTCCAAAACTGCATTGCTTTTAGATCTCCTCACTGCTTACCAAGGGAACACTTGCTTGTTCTTAGAGGTAAAAATGTTGCTATTATGCTAGTAAGTCTGGCATTGTTAGAGACTACCTACCAGTTGCCAGAGAATAAACCTGTGGACTGATGACAGACATGGGCTCCTACAGATGGAGCTCCCTGGGAAACTGGAAGCCATAAGTAGGAGCTCTATTGAGACCAGTAACCTGCCTCCTCCTCATATTCCTAAAAGGACCCTCCTTATTAAGTTGGCTCATCTCTTTCATTACAGAGCAAATAAACAGCAGCAGCTTTCAGACGACTCTCTGATCAGGTCTCTTCTCACAGGCCTAGACGCCAACATCTCTGAAAATGCTTTTCCTGATTAATTTTAAAGGGGAAGGGGGAAGAGTGGCTGGGGAGATAGCTCAGTAGAATCAATGCTTGCCTGGCAAGTGCAGGGTCCTGAGTTTAATCCCAGGTTCTGAAAAAAAAAAAAAAAATGGGGGGGTGAAGGAGAAATTAAAATTTTATTTTATTTTATTTAAACTTTATTTATTTGTGTGTGTGGCCAGCTCAGCCCACCAGGGGGTGGGGCTGGCTGGCATGTGGTGCTGGGGGATTGAACCGCGGTCCCTGTGCTTTGCTAAGCTTGTTCTAAGTAGGTGCTTTAGACCACTGAGCCATCTCACCAGCCCTAAAATTTTAAATAAAAGCGGGTCCCGAATGTCTGCCAAGACCAAGCGGACATGCCCAGAAGGCCTGATAACAGAACATTTCTTCCTTTGTGTAACCCATGTCTCTACTGCCTTTGTATAACTGATAGGTGGTCTTGCAATGTAACTTAAGATGTAACATGACATTTCTTCCTTTGTACAACTCATGCTATGTGTAACTGATAACCTTACAGCGTGACTTAAGATGTTCAAACTCCTTCAGTAGCCCATGATTCACGCAACCCTCCAATCACATGCACCAAATCTGTTTCTACCTTCCTGCTCCCTTTACTTTTAAAAGCCCCCAAACTCCACAGGTCGGGGCTGTGACTTTGGGAGAGACCCTAATCAGAAGCCTACTGGTGCAATAAACTGCCTCCCAGCCTGCTCGGTGCCCTTACATGCTGTTTTCTGTAAAACAAAGGATTGACGCTTCCCCCAGGACATCCACGGTCAAAGGCTATGGACCCTTAGCCCAAGCCGTGCCATTAGATTCCTTCACCTCTCGTGAACAGAACCGAGCCTGCAATCCTGCAAGCTTTTCAGCGACCCCAGCCACCGAGCCGCCGTACCTCGAGACTGCTGTCCGTCGGGTCAACGAACGTTTTTCAGGTTGGAAAGACCAGGAGATCCATGCGCTCACACGAGCCTCCTTACAAACATCTCCGGAGCCCAGCGAAGCCCTTATAAGCTGCTCTCTCTAGTCAGGACGCTCCACGCCCAGGAGGCGGGACTCTATTTCCCAAAGGGCCGTGCGGGCGGCCATATTTGTTTTCTCGGCTCCGCCCGCTGCTACGTCTTCAGAGGTCCCGCTGAGTACTCTGGGAAACTGGATAAGGGGGTGGGTCAGGGTCTTGTAGTCCAATGTTTCCCTTGATAAAGTACTCTCACCTCCTTCCCTTTCGAATTTTTTTTAAAAGAGACAACCAGAGGGTTGTCATGGAAACGCGTTGAAGATGTGGAAATTCCCGAGACGCGCAAAAATAGGGCGGGATTAAGGGATAAACGTAATTTGATTGTTAGACTCCCTATAGTTCATCTCGATTGGCTTCCAGCTGGTACATGCACAGTACAAGGAGTAAAGAGTTCCAAAGAATGGAAACGAGGAAGAAGTAAGCCTGCCTTCGGCCTGTATGAGGGTTGGCCTGCCGCAAAGGCCTCTGGGAAATGCAGTTCCGGATGGTACGGCCCCAGCCAGTGGTTCGGCAGTCAGCTGCGCCTGCGCGGGCGTCTACCGGGCGCAAGGTGAAAGATGCGCGCGCAGCACGCCTCCACCCCACCCCACCCCAAGCGGAAGTTTCCGCCGGATAACTAAGAAGGTAAGTCGTATCGCTTGCGGGGATCGTAGAGTCGGGCCGCAGAAACCAAGCACCCGACCCCTACCCTTCTCGAGTAGAGGCGTGAGGAGAAGGCGAGGCGGAGCCACGAGAAATTCCCGGTTGGCCACAGCTCGGGCGCGGTGCCTGTGACGTCATCACCTTTTGTAGGAGGTGGGGCACAGCCGGCGTGGGTAGGGTCGCGAGAGGTGCCTGGTCGTGCAGACCCGGCCTACGGATCGCCTTACCGTACCTCTGAAAGATTCTGGAGGTGGGCGTGGCTAAATCGGCGATGGGCGGGGCTTCTGAGTGTTCAACTGAAAGCTTGTTCCGGGAGTGCGTCGACCCTGGTTTTCTGCGGAAGGTGGGACAGATGCCGAGTTGCTGTCGCTGTCTCGTCTGTGCATAGGTTAGCGCGGGCCTTCAGTCTTGCTCTTTTGCCGTGCTGTGTCTCGAACTCAGGAGCACAGTAATTGGCATATAGCAGATGTTAGTATGTAGTTGAATGACTAAAGTAAGTGGATGACTAAACAATAAAGTCTGTCCTGAGAATTGGAGCCTGGGGTTTAAGCCCTCAGCTGGCCCTGATTGTGGGTGGGGGACTTCAGCACCCTGAAACTCCTCTAGTTCTTCCATCTATATTTAGTGAGCTCTTACTGGAGGTAACGCTCTGCTCGGGCACTTGTATTTATTTATTCTACATGTGGGGTACCTACTCCGTATTCCCTAGGGACAGCTATTTTTTAAAAATTATTTTTATTAGTATGTGTTTGCAGTACATAGTGATTGCAATCATTATGGCGATATCGTGGGGACATACATCTTTGGGGACAGTTCCTGAGTTCGTTATATTGGTGTACAAAACTAAAATTCTTCCACATAGATAACATTCTGATGGTTACAGGTGTCAGACAAAGTAAAAATTAAATTCTGTACTAGTTACAGATCCACAATACCGTACCTACTTTATTTTTTGTTATCGTTTCATACAGCGTTTAACTATAAAAGTTAATACAGTTTTGAAGCTTACATTTTGTAAAATGTTGTTTGCAGAATACACTCCAACAGTTACTATTGATGGGAGAAGCAGGGTTTTGAACCTGACTTTACGATTGAGGAGACAACAATTTTATTTCTTTTTTTAAAAAACAATTTTATTTCTAAATTTCATTATAAAAATGTACATCACTGTGGCTGCTGAGCTAGAAAGAGAAGTGCAGAAACCTTCTAGTGTCCCTTCTCACGAAAAGCAGCCACAACTTGGATATGTCTACACATAGAAATACTCAGTTCATTCATCCGTCTTTGAAAACACTATGAACACACAAGGAGGAAGAAATTATACAGCGTGTGCTTTCGGTAACATGTGATTTGCTCTTAAAGGGGGAAGAGGCGGAAACACAAATCAGACCCACCATAGCCTTCCACCCTTAAAACCAAAAAACCTTCCCCAGCTCCCTTCTCCTGCCTTGCTGATGCATTTTCGTGTGATTCTTAGTTTTCTTTTCCTTTGGTATTTGCTTCTTTGTCTCGCAGCAGGTCAGTTAGTTGGCCTCTGCCTAAATCCCTTAAGGGCAGCAAAGAAACCCACTGCAGCAAGACAAGTATTCTTAATAAAACACAAATTTTCACAATAAAAGAGTTTCTTAACCTATAATCCTTGAAGAATTCCCCCCCCCCCAACCAAGGATTGAACTCAGGCTCTTGCGCTTGCCAGGGAAGCCTTTATTCCACTAAGCCATCTCCCTGGCCCCTCCATGAAGAATTTTTTAACTGTAAATTATGAATCCTAAGAGAATAATTATAGTAAATGTAAGCAAAACAAGTCAGAAAAATAGCCATTATATCTTCGTACCAATTAGCTATATGGTATTTATTTTTTGTCTTTTTGAGACAAGGTTTCATTACGCATTTCAGGCTGACCTCAAACTCACTTTGTAGCCCACATTGGCCTTGAATTCATCGATCTTCCTGCCTCAGCCTTCTGAGCACTGGGATTAGAGGCATGTGCCTGTAATGGTAAGACATCTGGCCTTATGTGAGATATATTTAAAGTATTTTCTGAAGGCAAGCCCAAAAAGTTTCGAGAGAAATTTACAAAAAAATTACCATCTAAAGAAAAGTAAGGCAAACTACTAAAAAACAACTAATTTGCTCCAGAAACTAATTAGAAAATTAATTAGAATTATCAGTTATTACCATTACCCAAAATACTGGGAACCCAGTGGGTGCCCATCCAGAACATAATGAAATGTTGTTTTATTTTCACACCTTCCACTGTGTACAAGAATCAAAAGCCATTCAGCAAACCCAACATGCATCAGTATCTTTGCAAACAGAGATTCATTAGATAAATTCTTTGCAATTTCTGAGGCTTCAGTTAAAAGATCCTATATAACCTATGAACTTGCCAACTATAGAGTAATTAAAAACTCTTTTAAACAACTCAGTGCCTTTTCAGCTGTTGATTAATCTCTAGCACCAGTGTTGGGGCAGATAACTTACACAGAAAAAAAAATTTCACTCAGTAATCATAAAAATTCTATTTTTATGAAGTTTTTGAAGCTATCACCAATTAAGAAATTTTTAAAAATTGAAAATATCTGTTAAAGACTGTGAAGTCAAAGACACATACCAGCTGTAAACTCAGATGTAAAAATCAGTGTGGTGGGAAAATCTAGCTGATTTCTAGGCAATCAAACAAAATCCACAGGAAACACTAAAGATGGTACAACTGCTAAACATGTATTCAAAGGAGAGGACCCCGTGAGCCTTGCGCTGCGCAGATGCAAGTGTAGGTCTTGGAGCACAGTGAGTTCTGCCTAACCATTGCCTCAGCTTGACTGGCCTTTCTCATCTCAGCTCCTCCCCATCTGTTCTGTGAAAACAGCTAACAAAGCTTTTAAAGAGGTCCTTGTATGTAATACTTAGCATGGACTTCTTTTGATAACTCAAACAGGACAACAGTGTTTATGGAATTACCTTTCCTCCCTTGACTTTTTATTCTGTATTTAATACGGGCTCTACCGGGTCTCACTACACGGATTGAACTCATAGTGATCCCCCCGTTTTCAGCCTCCCAAGCGCTGGGATTACAGGGGCATGCCACCACGCCCAGCTCCCTTGACTTTTTGAAACTCAAGATCTGGAAAGTACTGGTCAATGTTCTTAATAGATAAAACTCTGAGATCTTAGCATACGCTTTAAAAGATAGATAGATAGATAGATAGATAATATCTTAAATAGCATATGTCTTTTTTTTTTTTTTTTTTGCAGAACCGGGGATTGAACTCAAGTACATGTCTTGAAGCTCAAATAATCTTGACATTTTAAGACATAATTAACTGAATTTTTTTTTCTTCTTTTTGAGACAGGGTCTCGCTACACAGTTCAGGCTGGCCTTGAGCTCACTTTGTAGTGTGCAGGCCCATCTGGAATTTGCAAGGCCTCTCCTGCCTCAACCTCCCAATGTCTGGGATTACAGGTGTGCACCACCACGCCCAGCTAGACTCAGTGATTCTCAGTGTCAGTTTGTGCTCAGTTCCTAAGGAATCAGCCTGGATAATAACAAACACCTACTTTTTTTTTTTTTT